TAGAGAAACAAAGGATATGCCTTTAACCATATTTTGCAGCAATTCCACTTTTTGTTTTATGGACATCGAAACATGCTTTCGCTTTGTAGATTTTGTAGATCCTTTGGCAGCTTCAGAATCGGAAATTCTTTTTGACATAATCGAAAGTTCAAGCTTAATTTTATAAAATTGCTCTATCAGTCTGCAAAAAATAATAAGCCGGATCCAATTAGAAGATTAAGGATTAACACAATCTGCAACATTAGCTGAAATAGATAATTAGATAATTTTAGCTTAGCTGATACCGTCCGTTATACATTAAACGAGCATGCATAAATGTATTATGTGTTATGCGTAAACGCATATGCGCATACGCAGAAAGTTTTTAGCTCTGAGGTCCGGATTATAGATCATTCCGGATTATGGACATCTGGATTAAAGACTTTTTACTGTATATTGATTTCCCTCCTCCTGGGTAATGTTGAAATTTCTTCTTTCACCATTATTCATTCTCTGTTACTTTGTTTAAAAAGAAAATATTTCTTCTTATTTCCGTTATTAAGCACTGCACTGCACAAAATTTTATTTGTATGTAATGGCATTATACATGTAAATTTTAAGAAGCAAATGATGCCAGTTTTAGGAAGCATACTAAACCAGAAAATATGTTTCAGCCTGATGTAATTTTATTATTTATATGTTACTAGCAGAAGTACCCAATGCCAGTTAAGTTAGATTGAGAGTAATGCATTTAAAAACAGAGAGAAGGATACCACTGTAATCCTTTTCAGATAATGATGCAAAAAATACGATTCATAATCATACATGTTTCAGTCTGATGTGATATAGAACCCTCATAAAAAATTTTGATAGGATTTAAACTAATTCTCTCTCATTATATCAGCAACAGTGATTTTCACAGGACTAGTTTCGATGGTTTCAATTCAATTTTTAATGATTTTTGTTTTTCTAATCAAATGGTCGTAAAAGATCAAGTTCCATTTAATATTTCATGTATATTCAATTTTAGCCGATTAAATGCGGCAAAAAATGTATCACAATTATATGCATATCAGTATGGTTAGATTACTTGTGTAGAAGTCTAGACATGAAGTTAATCATGTGAAACACAAATGTAAGTTTTTGCCTTGAGGTAAGATTGCACTGTTGAAGGAAAATGAAAGGGAATTTATGAAACCCCAGAGTTGTGAGGCGAGAAAATCATCAGACAAGTGGCAGGGGGAGGTTTTCGGACAATAACTATCTCCGCATCCTAAATGGTGTGTGGGGGGAGGGAGAATTTCTCTGGCTGAAATTTTGACCCTAGCCGTCTTTTTGAGACTCTAAAACTCTGGGCTCTAAATAGGTCACCTATCTTCTAAGCATTAAGAGTGTTAGTGCTAATTACAGTTACTTTTGTCAATATAAATGCCTCATTCCTGCTGATGTAATGAGATATTTGCAGAGTGAATGTCATCCCGTAATGCACTTATTTTGCTGTAAAATGTTACACCTATTTGTGATTTATATCATTTCAAATCTAAATTTAGTAGAATTACATAATGATGCTGATATAGGTGACAAAATATATAATTAATTACTTTTGTCTGTGTAGGGAAAATAAATCTCAGCATGAAGAGTGAATGTAAATGAAACAAATCTGTAAGGAAAAAAAAAAAAAAAAACTGCATGCAAGAATGTAAATCTTATGCAAAAACAAATTCTATGTAACTTGAAAAATTCAAAAGGCACCTTTTTTATCTCGCAGGTATGTAGAAGTATGAAAGCATTGGCAGACAATTAGTTGGGAGTTAGAAGCAAGAAAATGTTATTTTATTGATTACACTAAATGGAATTGTTGCAGTAATATATAATGAAAAGAAAACTCCCATAGCAGATGAGTTTCAGTAATGAGCATAAATGCTGGAAATAGCTGAAAATTATTTTATCAAAGCTGAATCAGGATGGTGGCCAAACCATGTTGTGTTAAATTTTGCAACATTTGAATAATTTACAAACTCAGGTTAGATTAATGTATCTTAAGAAAATCTACATGCTGCAATTATAAATGTGCCTTCTAATTATGTTAATAAAAATATGATGTGTATTGCATGCTTAAAGAATTAAAAAAAGGGGGATTAAAAAGAAAATTGAAAGTTCTACAAATAAAAAGTGCTTTTATTATAAGAAAATGGTATGTGTAAAATATAGTAAAATGCTTTTAATGGGTACTTTTCATTTAACTGGTGTCACTTAGTGCTAAATATAATTTTTCATCAAATCCAATTATATGGCAGAAACTGTAATAATATGTAAAGCTTCATGAAAAGAATGATTATTTTTTAAATCAAGGAAAAAAAAAAAAGACAGATATAAAAATACAAAATAGACTATTTCATGTAACATTGCTAAAAATAATCTGCTGACCATCCATAATGCAACACCATGAAGGAAGCATCCAAACAACATGAAAGTTGCATCATGTAAAATGGAATGGAATGTGCAAATGATTACAGTTTTAGTGTATGTGCACATGATGGGCAACTGCAATGCTCCTTATAGTTTGTATGTAAAAGGAGAAAAGATTGCCATCTTGAATAACAGGAATTGTTCTATCATGAGAATTTTTGTGTATGCAGCTTCAGTATGCACATAGAAAAACACAAGCATCATTTGGTCTCCTTTCTGAGTTTGACCAAGGCAGAATCGTTTCAGACAGAGATTGCAGATTATCCTTCCGGGAAGTTGGTCATCATCTTGGACATAGCCAAGCAATAGTCATGTGAATATGGAATCGGTGGATGCAGGAGGAAATGATTGACAGACAGGATTAATTGCAACTGCCTTATTGCACAACTCTATGAGAAGACATGCATATCATGCACATGGCACTGATGAAGTCCACTGCCACATACGCAGCCAAATCACAATGAATGCTGTCTGTAATACAACAATGAGCCTGCACAAACAATGTCTTCAACAGCATAATGGATTGTCCACTAGGTATCCATTATTTTGCTTACCTTTAGCTTTAAACCACAGGTTTTTAGGTTTGCGGTGGTGAATGGCAGAGATGAAGATCCGAATTGCATGACATTGTGCTTTTGGATGAATCATGCTTCTGCCTGCGGTAGCTCGATGGTGTGATTAGAGTTTGGAGACACCATAGAGATCAACTGCTTGTTATATTATGTATTGTCATACTGGTCCTGCATGCGGTGTTATGATGTGAGGGTGGTATTGGATTCCATTTCCGCACCTCCCCCTGTACATGTTATCAGTACATTTACCAGCCAACACTCTGAGGTTTTGCAACCTATTCTCTTTCCTTACCTTCAGGACTTGCCTGGGGCCACATTTCAACAGGAGAGTGCATGACCATATATTGCAGGCAATGTTTGGGCTTTCTTCTTAGCCCACCCTATTGCATTTTTTACCCTGGTCTACACATTCTCTCGTTCTGTTGCCCATCAAACACGTGTGGTCTGGAGAATGCTTAGTCTGGAATGCTGCACCTGCAGATACACCAGATTAAATGGTATGTACGGAGGCAACATAGACTGCCATTCCTGAACAACACATCCAAAGCCTCTTTCACTCATTGCCAAGGTGTGTAGCAGTAGTTATTGACAAACATGGAGGCAACACTTATTACTGATTTTTCTCATCTTAAAGCTGTATTGCAAATAAGTTAACATTGATACTATGTGTAATCTCTGCAGTAAATTTGACTTTGGTATCTCTTTTGTTCGTATTATAATTTGGATGGTCAGCAGTGTATTTATCTTTTTTCATGGAATTGCCATCACATAAATTTGATGAGGTTGGCATCTAGATAGTTGTGGCTATTTCTTTACTGGTGTTTATTTTGTCATTTGGCATTCCATGTCAGGATTAACAATGTCCAAATTTTTAGTGAACTTACAGATGTTTCTTATCTGGCATTTGCCAAGTCATCCATTTAAGCAGTTGAAAATCTAGGGAGGAAAAATTCCTTAATTGATGTTCATTCTTCTCACTTGCAATGATGTCATTGCTGGGATATTCATGATGGCTGCCACAAACAGGCTACTACATATGGCAACTGGCATCCTCTTAACAGACAAGTACCTACAAATGTATAAATTGGGAACTGTTTAATATAAGATTCACATTTATTAAATAAATATTATTTATTTGATTATTTTATTATCAGAATTATTTTTAAAGAATTTCATTTGCTTCGCAAAATTTCTGTCATTTGCTTCTTTGTTACAGGTTGAATATAATGATTTAAAATTTGTTTGCTTCAAATAAACATTTTAATAAAAATGCTGCAAAATAAGTTTAAAGTAAATGCATCATCTTAATTAGAGATTATAGAAAAAATTTATGATTGGTATCAAAATGACATTGGCAGCTATTGTCAGATGATGACAAAGCTGACTGGTCTAGTTTTAATTCTGTCTGCTAATTCCTCTTAAATTTTTCTGTTACTTTTATTGTGTAGTAATGCAGAATCTCTGAATAACAGGAAAATATCAAAAAGTAAATTTTCTATATTGATGGGGGGGGGAGAGACTGTTACATTGTGTTTAGTGTTACACATTATTACCACTATTTCAAAACCATGAAACTGCAAATTTTTCTCTAGAAAAGTACATTTGAAAATTAAATTCTGCAAAATTTAGTATACTGATTTTTTTCTTTTGTCATAAAACCATGTATTTTCAGAGTATGATTTTGCTGTGAGGCTAGTGATGTATATTTTCCAAAATTATGGATTTTTTTTCAGATACATTTTAAAAGTGTAATGACTGCTTTCATTTAGATTTCTTTATCCTGTACTTAGTTAAGTAAAAAAGTTATGATAAAAAAGTAATTCATTTCAGTTTATACTTAAAATAAAATTGATAGTTAAACTTTTTATTGCATAATGTACAGTAAGTTGTGTTTAACTACTGTATTTATTACAGTTTAACCAGTGTTTTTAAATAATAAATATTCTTCATGTTTTGACTAAAAATTATTCTCTTTTCAGAACAGTTGCTTTTTGTTATGTGAATTTTCATCGTGCATTTCTCCTTTAAATTTGGACTATGATCTCAAAAAGCATTTTATTCAAGAAATCGCTTCTATGCTGTCATCAGTTTTAATTACTTGTCGACACAGAGTATGTATTGACATTCTATAAAAAATATCTTATCTTTGTTTAAAAGTGATTCTGTATTTGAAAATTTGCATGATTAATATATTTTCTTCTCAAAAATTAGCAGAACAACAACAAACTTTAAGTAAACTATTGCTAGTATATTGTTTGTAAGTAAAATCCAATTTGTTTATAAACTGTGTAACTCAATGCTAATAACACTACTCATCTTCTATTATTCTATTTTCCCGTTGGGTGAACAATGATAATTATATGTGCTCATGTACACATCTGTTCTCATTCCTTGATTGTAGTATATCCTCTGGACATATATTTTTTTGGATTCATAAATCATTGATTTAACAATCACAAAATTTTTATCATCAGCATATCTTTAAAATTCCCAATAGAGTGTAAGTGTTGCCACACATTTCTTTTTCAGTTTTTTCCCAGTTCATGGTATCATTATTCAATTTTCTTAGTAAGATTACCAACTATTTTATTTGTCATTTTAGCTTTATTTATTAAATATTACTTTCTTTGCACTTATACAACATAAAATTCAACCTCAAAATCTTTAAAATCAACACATCTTTAGAATTTCCAATAGGATGTTAAGTGTTGCCATGCATTTCTTTTTATACTAACTATTATTTATATCTGCTATATTATTTCTATAAAAATAATACATAGCAATAACATTTGGTGAAAGCCTCCTTCTATTTGAAAAGTAATTCGCCATAAAATTGAAGATTGAGGCTAATATGTTTAATTGATTCATAATGAATTTATTCTCATTGCATTTCGCATAGTTACAAGAATACATTTAATGTAATTGAAATTTTTTGTTTCCAATTGCGCACCTATTTTGAATGTCAAATTTCAGTTGTTTTGGACTAGCTCATAGAATATTATTTTACGAAAGTCTATTCAGAGATTCAAATAAAGTATTACTTCTGGTTTATCAATTTTAGCTGTTGTGTTGTTCAATTGATGTGGAAGTCAATGTGTTGTTCTCATTGATAGGAAAGTCTTAAATATTTAGATGAAAAGTTTTGGGTTATATTTTAACTTGTTAAATATAGTTATATATTAATGCATTTTTATCCACTGAAGACTGTTACAGGCTTCATATAAAATATCACTTCTGGTTTTCCAATTTTACCCAAAATCTAATCAACCCTGTATATGAATTCAGTAAGCTTAAATACAGAAAAAAGAAAAAGAAAAAAAGAAATATTTGGATGTTTAGTGTAAGAGTTATCTGAGAGGGAAAAAAAAATTGTCACACGCGTATATGTTGTGATACACGCATATAGGTTTGTAAAAGTAGTAAAAACAGGCTGTGGACACACTAATTCATGCTTATTCACTGAAAATTCACTATTGCATTTTTAGACTTATACATTCTCCTTGGGCATATATATAAATGTATGTATGTGCATGTTTGTCTGGTATGTGAGTTTTTGCATTTTTCCATCTAAGCCTTTTTGAATTGATCTTAAATACTTAACCAACAGAAGTTTTCATGCGTCTGAGCCTGTCAATTTTAAAAAGGAGGATAAGCATCTGAGATTACCTTTTTTACCGTCTGAGATTTTTTTGTTATGATGGTATTTTCTGTTATTTTTACAACCATTTATTTCCTATATGTTGTACAAACTGAATTCTTGTTTTTTTTTGGGGGGGGGTAGAGGGGGAATAATATTAATAATAATAAAACCATAAAAAAGTAATTCATTGAATGCATTAAAACTAGGGCTTATAAATTGCTATTCTTGTGATTAGCATTTTTAATTTAATGAAATAACTGACTGAGTTGAATTTATAATTCCTTCCTAAAGGAAATGAAAACTAGGCAGAAATCTCTTCCCTTCATTCATTTTTCAATTAAACCATCTTTTATCAATGATGGTTTAAGATGTAACAAGCTTGCTTCAAACTGTGTTTGGGTAACAAATACAGTACAAAGTCCGAGATCCGAAATGATCTAAAATCTGGACCTCAAAACCGGCAGGAACTTTTTTTTTTAATGCTTTACGCAAGCGCATCTTATTTTTTCCTTCGTAGGTAAAACATGTGGAGTGTCCCGATTCTTAATTCCCGTTCGGCACTAAATAAATACCTCATTATTGACGAAACAATAATTTAGCATAAAATTGCATGATCAATAAATTGGCTTCGTAGCTATATACTTGGCATACATCTTAAACCAAAACATTCTACATAGAAACGTCATTGATTTTACACCTACTTATTTATATCCCTGATGGCAACATGGCAAATCATTATTTATTATATTTTGCTTTCGTCATTGCATGTTTATCAACACATGACAACTTGAGTAATGACTCATGCAGTGATGCCCCCAATTTTTTTAATAATATTAGTAAATTTTTATATTAGTACAAAGGAATTATTGGTAACCTTTTATGTTGATATTATTATGCTTGGCAATGATTACAGATTTAAGTTAAATGCACTAAGAAATATTGACAAGGAAAAATTTAACAAAAATTTCTTTCAATATGCTAAATATAGACTTTATTAATGATACTTATAGGGCAAAAGATTACATTTAGTGCTGTTTGAATTAAGAATAACTTATTTGTTTTTCACATAAACCCAGAACCAGCGCCAAAGCTCGTATGGCCGCACCTAGTGGCAGAATTTAGCAAAGACAAGATTTTTGGAATTTAGAAAAGCACCGAGCAACAAATTAAAGGGTGAAAATAATTTTAAAATTTAGGGAAAGCACTGGGATCCAAAATTTAGGGATGGCAAAAATTTAGAACTTAAAGAGGTGCTTAGTAGCAGAATTTAGGACCTGCAGAGATTGCATCAGGCGGTAAGATATCTTAGTGCTGACCTTCGATAAGTGTGGGAATTTTTTTATTCAGGTTTCTTAATGTGGGAATTTATTTGTTCAAGATTCAGATATGCGTTAAGCAAGTGCAAGAAGTACATGTTAAGTATAACACATAACTAATACAATCAGGCTTAATTATCTCAATGTTCGATAGAAGCAAGACAAAATTTAGTAGAACAACTTGTCTTTCATCGCTAGTCTCATGAACATAGCCAATAATATATAGCAGATGCTATTAAGCTAGGCTAAAATTATGCTTTACTGATTTCAAGGAATTTCAGCCAATATAGCAGCTTGCACTGCTCCTTAACTCTCTGATTTGACCCAGCTTAATTATTTTTTACAGGCTGTTTTTATTACAGCAATTTGATGAAAATTAAAGTTTCAACTTCTGATCATGTCGAAAAGAGTTTCTAATTCTGGAACTGCAACAGAATCTACAAAGCAAAAGCATGTTTCAATGCCTGTTTAACAAAAAGTGGAATTGCTTCAAAAAATGGATAAAAGTATATCCATCTCAAAATTATATGAGGAGTATGGCATTGGAGAGCCAACTGTAAATGACATAAGATAACCAAAAAAGGAACTTTTTGAATTTTTTGTGCATTCTGCCACCCTTCTTCTCGCAATGAATAACAGAAAAATATTCATTATACTAGAAGTGAAGACCATGACAAAGTGATTATTGAATGGATCAGACAACATTGCTGTGAGGGCATGCGCATTTGACTCATCAAGCGCAAGCTAAAATACCTCACTAAAAAATGAACCTAAAAACTGAGTTCACATTGGTTAACCAAATTTTAAAATCGTCATGGCATGAGGCAATTTAGAATTTTAGGGAAAAACGTTTCAGCTTATACTGAAGCTGCTGAACTATTTGCAGATGAATTCATTGAACTTATTAATAGTTAAAAGTTATCTCCAGAACAAATTTACAATGCAGATGAAACTGGTCTTTTCTGCAATATGTACTGCAAAATATCTTGGCAACCTCTATAGAAAAGGTTCCAACTATCATCAGAGATTCTAAAGTGAGACTAGCAATTTTAGCATGCGCAAATGCAGCAGGGTTGCACGAGCATGAACCTTTCGTAATCAGAAAAAATACACGACCTCGAGCACTTAAAGGAGTAAAAAGTTTCCCGTTATATATTGTGCAAAAGAAAGAACATGAATGGCACAAGTATTAATGAATGATTGGTTTGAAAATAATTTTTTACTCGAGGCTCGGTAGAATTCGGTTGGTGTACATGATAACGCAAAAATTGTCTGATTGTAGACAACTGTTTGGCTGATACTTCAGTTAATACTTAAAGTTTTAGTGAAAGATGATGTATCTGTATTATTCTTTCCTCCAAATTGTACGTCAGTCTTTCAGCTTATGGATGTTGTAACAGTGCACACATTGAAAATGGAAATGTAAAGTAAAATTTTTAAAAGCCATATTAAATTTCTTGAATTATGGCTAGAATATTCAATAATTTTTAGCATAACATCTGCTTTATGGAGCATCGTTTAAAAATGCTTGGCATAATTCATGGTCAGTCAGCATATTTCATGGTGAGGTTTATGAATGTGATAGCTGCAAATGTGAAGGTTTTGGGATTTTGCAAACCAAAGGTTAAATTTTCCGATTGATGGAATTTTTTTTAAAAAAATGTGGAGAAGTGGTAATAAATGAAGGTGATATAACAGAAGTTTTTCATTGCGATGACAATGCCCCAATTGTCAATCAATTAACAGATGGCAAAATCTGTAGTATGGTTTTAGGTCCAGAAAATACTGCTACCGATAGTGAAGAAAGTGACAAAGAGGTTATTGAAAATAAAAAAATTTCGATTGACAAGTTGGTGAAAATTCTCGACTCAGCAATTACAGGACTTGAAAAGTGGAACTTTGTAACTGAATAAAAAATTATGTCTGTCTACAAAATTAAAAAGAAAATATTAGCACAATAAAAGCAACTTGAACAACTTGCATTGAATGAAATGTTTAATAAAGTAAACAAATAAATATTAAGCTTTTTGGGGGGGGGGTTAAATTTTGTTACCCTTTAGATTAGATCAGAAATGCTTCATTATTTCATAAATCATGATTTCATACTTTTAATTTTATAATTTCTACATGACATCATACAAGCTTTAAACTGATTATCTAATGTCCAAATCTAGAATCGCCATAGTCCCAATGAGTCCGAATATTGGTCTTTATACTGTATTTGCATTATTCTTTTGTATAATTCATATCACAATCGGCTCATCTGATATTCATTTTCATTATATAATTAGGGTGTTGTTGATGCATGTAGCCTAGCATTAGCAAAATTTTGTGCCTGCTTGACAAAGAATGAGCCTTTGCATGAAGAAATCTGTAAACATTTATTGGACTTGGTAAGAATAAAGATATTTTATATTATATATTCTAATAATTATACAAGTTCTTTGTTAATAATTTATTTAACTTTTTGATTAAGGTTTATTTATGATAGGTATTAAATATATTAGCTTTAGACAAGGAAATATTAGTAAACATAGTGAGCTTTAAATATTGAGACAACAGTTCTCTTTTCCTGTTGAAGAATAAATAGAGGTTGCCCATTAAGCCAAATAAGATTTATTTAAATACATAGGAAAATATACTAACAAGGAATTAGATATTACAAAAGAATTGCTCATTAAAATGCTACCAACAATTACTAACCATCATTGACATGTCAGTCACAGTCTCGATAAGGTTTGCAGACCTAGATGTGAGCTAATAATGTTTTACATTTTATCTATTAAAATAATGCTATAGCATTAAACATAGGGTATATGATTACATCTATAACCCTCTACTACTCATATTATTAAATTAAAACAACAAAATTTTTGATATTCTAATACTTTGTAAAGGATTTATTTCTAAGTTGTGTAAAAGGTTAGGACTGTGTAAAAACTTTATATTGCCTAAATGTGATTGTAAAATTTTACGCTCATTATTTGAAGCTTAATTTGCATTTTTACCCGTCTGTATTTTAATGAATATTTTAAACTATCCCTTGGAATTAATATAGCAAAATATTATGTGGATATATTTGAAATAGAATTCAAGTCTTTTTCATCTAATATTTTTGTAAATTATGTATGAAAAGCTATATTTCTTTATTATAGGTATTTAATTCATTATCAGATGCTTCATCTACATCAGTAACAAGACGGTCAGCTGGTTTTCCTCTACTGTTCCAGGCTGTAGTGTCTAGTGAAGAAAATAATATAAATGTGAGCATGGTTTCAATACAGGATTATAAGAATGACATACAATAAAATTTGATTATGTTATAAACTCTTAAAGATGCCTATATCAAATTTATGTAAAAATAAATTACATAACAATTGTGTATTAGCTTGTTTAAGTAACAAAGCTTGATACGTGTTTAAATTTATTATTAGGAGTGACACCTAATTTTTTCTTTTTTAAATATATATTCCATATATTTTTAAAGTCATTAATTTACTATTGTTTTAATACAGTTGATGTATGTAAAGTTATCAGTTTTAAGTACTGTAATATTAATTGAAATGAAATAAGTCATTACTGTCATGACAGGAAAGAGTTTTTAGTTAGAATTTGATCACTCAGTTAATTGTAGTATATTTGCATATAAATAATGGGAAGAAAATAATTTAACAAAATGCAATCATATTCAAACACTTTTGAAACTTCCTACTATTTATGGATGTAGTGATTGTTTCATAAAAAATAATGGTCCCTTCATCTTTTAGCTCTTCTACCTTTACTGCTAAGGAGGATGTGCTCCATTGAATTTTTTAACATGGTCAGTCTTTTGTCTTAAAGGCATCCAGTAAAGGTTTTTAATTAAAACTGGAGCTGTTTCAAATTTCAGTTTTGTCATGATTTAAAAAACTCTTGGTTCTGAGAACTTGTGAACAGTGCCATTTGGTATCTCTTGTATAGCATTTCTGTACTTTCTTGGAATTTTAAAAAAACTGTTGTCTATTTTAAAATAGGCTAGAAGTTTTTTTAATGTAACAATATAGTTTACCATGTGAAAAGTCTATCAAACTAATGATTCTAGCTTTATAGTTATAAGCTTTTATCTTTACATATATTTATTTATTTATTTTTGTGCATGGAACAACCACGGTTCATTTCATAGAAAGAATAAAGTAAAAAAAGTTACACTGAGAGTGAAGTTAAGTCTTTCATGCAATTTTCAATAATGGTGAAATATGTAAATTATTAATTTATAAAGAAAAAGTTATGCCTTTTTGCTTAAATGGAATTGTAAGTAATTTTTAAGCTCAAAAGTATTCTATTTAAATGTGATATTAATTTTTCAGAGGAAATTGCTTTCATATGCTGTTTACAAGATTGTTGATTTAATTTATCAACCACTACCGCCTAGTGATTCAATAAATGAAAAGACAGATCTGCCACAAGTGCATGCTTATCATATTTTAAAGGCCCTTGTTATGGATTCCAGCTTATCACAAGCTATACTTACCCATTTAGATTGCATTATTCCAGCTTGTGTGTCAGGTTTCTCATCTTCATTGTGGGCTGTTCGTAATGGAGCTTTGCAACTCTTTGGTATGTAGATATTTATTTCAGGTTTGCCTTTTATTTTTAAAATGTTTTTTCAAGTCTGAAGTATAATACCTCTCTTAATAAAAGAAATGTACACTGAGTTACAAAACACACATGCAGACAATTCTGTACCTGTTGTCTTAGTTGACTGGTCAACAAACTTTAAATTGCATTTTTCATGTCTTGAAAGTGTCACTTAAGATGTATATTAGATTTGTATATTGCAATTCTTTAATATATATATCTTAACAAAAATTGAACTTTTTATGAAATGACATGCTATTATTTTCCAAAGCTCAATTCTACATTTCAAATTATACATAAATATGAGTTTGTGATAATCAGTAATAATTATATCAATATAATTTCTAAGATATTCCCATTTGAAACTGGGTGCTATTTTTCAAATTGGTGAGGGGGGAAAATTCACTTGCCAAACTTATATTAACCCTAGTTTTTAGTTTTATTTCTTTATTGAATGACCACATGTTAAAATCTTTCAGAATTGAAAAATTCATGTTATTATTTGTCTATTTTAAACATAAAAGTTTTATTATATTTATAAAATAATTGAACTTTTTTGAAAATAAAAATTTGAAATAAAGCAATAAAAATTTGAAAAAGTACTCAGCATGTAGTTAGAGAAAATTTCAGAAAGAAGAATTTCTTTTAAAATTTCATTCATTTGTAAATAAAATGTAATAAGAGGGTCACTCTGAAATGTTTGAGATGCACATAGATTTTTAAAGTTATTCGTAATTTCAGGAGTATTCAAACTCCTCCAGCATCAATACGCTTCTATGGGTGAATTTTTTAAAGATTAAATGTCTCAAGCTATTCATTTCTTGAAACTGAAGAAAAAAATGAATTTATAGTCTAATCACTATCATTTTTGGAATGAAAACGACATAAGTTCTTTGTTAGATTAAAAAGTAGCCAAAAGTCACACATAACTAGATTGGAATGAGGGGATGCATGTTCTATCACTTTGATATGTTTTTGTTCTAGAAACTCAACTGTCAATCATGCTGAATGAGAAGATGCATTGTCATGGTAGAGCATGAGTCCTCTAACATTCATTTTTTGAAGAATTTCTGGAAGACAGTGATGTACCAGTTAGCTATGACTGTCTTCTGTCCTTCCAGCTTAATAGCTTTGACAGTCATGTTCTTCTGGAGAAAAGAGCATACATTACTTTTTCCATCTCATGTTGTCTTTGTTGTCACCATTGTTGGCATGGGATCATCTTCAAAGACTCATACATGAAACCTGACAACCTACTAAATGCAAATGATTAAAAAGTTAGTAATTTTTTCATTAAAACTTGCAGAATTTTGGGAAAAAGATATAAAAACATTTTTAAAAACGTTTTGATATCCATATTGTTTATTATATCTAATTTTCATACTTTTGGAACTTCACTATAGCAGAATGAAATAACATTAAGCGTATGTGAAATAGATGGGGCCAAAAGCTCTGTTCATTATATCCAGGGGTTCATTGTAATGGATTGTATATATGTTTAAATAAATGATAGAAGAAGTAAATAGGCTATAGGTGTTAGAAAAATCCGATATAAAAAAAATTAAGCTACAATAAATGTATTTACTTTTATTTTTATACTGCTTAGAGAGAAGCAGTATAAAATTTATTTAAATTATCAAAAAAAAAAAAAAAAATATCAGATGTTGTAAGATCCCAAATAAAATTAGTGCAATTTTTTAGAAATTTGATTAGTGTTTTATGTAAAAAGCAAGACCCAAGGCTAAAAATAAGTTAAATAAATTACATAACATGAACATTTGAAATAGTATGAATCAGAATAAGTGCTTGAATTTAAAGGAAGAAAAAAAAAAAAACATGAGTTATTGACTAATGAAATTTAAAAAATTACCAAGTATAATTTTTTTTTGGGGGGGGGGTCAAGAATTCTGTACTACAATTCTTGAAATTGCATTTTGTTTCTTTATTAAAATTATATAATACGAAAAGCTTCTTTAAATTGTTTGTTTTAGGTGTTCTTCTGCCTCGTATGTGTGGTCAGAAAAAAGTTCGAGATGAAGATTCTGAACATAACTTAGTTTCTGCATCAGAATTATTTTCTCGATGTCCTGCTTTAAAAGCATACCTATTACAGCAGTTAAAAATGTGTGTCAGCTTGCATAAAAAAAAGAAACTCTGTTCTGAATTAATGCCAATATTATCCCTTATTGTAAAGTTATCACCTCAGCAAGATGAGATGAAGTAAGTGAATTTCTGAGTGTTCCAATTACCGAAATTGTGTTAATGAAGTTCTCATTTTAGGCAGACTGTCATACTTTTTAATTAAAATCTGCATAAATTGAAAACTCTAGAAACTTTGTATAGAAATACTTTTTTCCCACAATTTGGGGACTGGCAAGAATTTGAAATGCTTCACATTGTTAAAAATAACATTTATATCTTTTCTTTAATACAACCAGCAGTAATTAAACTATAATTTCAATTTAACAGTTGTTGTTTATCTTGCTATATATTTGAATTCTCTACTGGCAGGTTGTTAATTGAAACATTTTAATTTCATTTAAAAATCTGTTTTTATATCTTAACTTTCTTTTTAACATATCAGAGGAGGTTTATTTTTTCACTCAAAATGTAAAATTCAATCCTTGCAAAATAAAACCCATAGGTATGACTATGCCTCAGAAATTGATTAATGAGAAGAATGGAAAGAAACAGACCTTGGCTATTGCACAAAGAATAAGAGCTTTAATTTTACTTGTGTATAGTCAATTCTCAGAGTTTTTCAATCAGAGGGCTTAAAATCATACGTTCGGAATGTAGTTCAGTGTGCATGAGACATAATTTTATTTTCTGAATTAATCATTCTGTTATTGATTAACAAATTGAATGATTGTAATTTGAAACACTAAATTCACTTCTTAACAGTTTAAATCTGTGTCTTGTATTTTCAATAAAGAATTATTAATTTTTAAGAAGTATGAATTAAAATATATTTAGTTTATAATATATCCAATTAATAATTCTTATTAACATTTGCAGCTTTCTTTCAATCAATAAAAAATGTCTCTAATACAGTAGTTATATTAACTGGTAGAGAATTTTTGTTTGTTTTGTTTAATTATATTTTTAATCTTTTGAAATTTTTATTTGTAAGCTCTTCTTTGGATTACTGATTTTAATCTGAAGTTTTGTGATTGTTGTTTGTTTAGATTTAAATGTATCTCATTGGGGTCAATATGTTGTACAATGAAAGTAAAATATTAGCATATTTGTAAAATACCATTTCACAAAATTCTGATTTGCTTCAAATCTCATAAAACATGCATAGCAGAACAAAAAGTTAAATTTGAAATATTTTGGATTAGATGGCATGATTTAAACAAGTTAACAAGCGTACATTTTTTAAAGGGTTTGTCTAACAAAGCTGGAAAAGAAATCTGAGAAATGATCCATCCTTGCTTTGACTCCTATTCCAAATCAAAGTAAAAAGAGTTAGTATTTATAAAGTGGAGGAATATATGTTCCTCTTAGTTTATGTCTAAATTTATTAAACAAAATTTTATATATTTATCATTCTGTCCAATAAATAAGTGAAAAGACATTGTCTGTCATTAAAAGTGCACCATGGGAAACATGATGGGTGTTAGTACCTTATTAATTAGGGAAATAACGTACGATAAGTGGGCTAAATGATTGCAATTACAGTTCTCTTGCAGAAGATAAAAAATCAGTATCTTTTGTAACTATTATTGGCGGCAATTGCTATAGGTGTATGGCCTGATATAGATAGAAAAGGACTCTAAATATGTATTTGGGATATGACTTATATGATTTTGCCAAGCATTGCCAAAGTTCATCTGCTATAGCCACAGGCTGTCTTTGGTGAGCAGTCATAGACTAGACATAATCAATAGGCAGCTGATCTGTAAATGTACAAGTGAAAAGTGAAATATAGTAGCCACCCAGAAAGAAAGAAACAAAACGTAGTAGTCATCCAGAAACTGTTGACATTGCGACTTTATGTGGTTATACTATTTATTCTATTATCTGTGATATTCTAGACACCACTGTAGCCAAAAATGCCTGTGGTGTGCAATCAAGACTACCCAAAGCATTGGGTATATTGCAAAAGTTTCCCACTGTTGCAGTTGAAAGTAGATTTTGTTTGTAGGGGTTCTATGCAAGACACTCTAATTCTTGTGCTAGAGTTTGAAATGTGATTGAACATCAGCTATGTGATACGCAAGCTACATTCGATATAAGGTGTGTTCTATTCAACATTTCTAGGGTAATCTATGGTCTAAATATGTCACAGTCATATTGCAGGGGTGATTGGAGCCCAGATATACTGCATATTTCAGTGCATAATGGGCACTTTTAATACAAAAATTAAGATAAAAATATATGGGTGCTTATTATACACTGACTTAATGATAGATTAAAAAACAAAAGAAACATAAACATACAAAAGTAGTTTTCTACACGCACACTTTGCAAAAAATAGAGGGGGGGCAGTTCAATATCTCTTGTTCTAATGAGCTGACTGACAAAATTTAACTTACTTTTTTAATGTCTTGATGAAAGTGCTACTAAGAATATATATTAGATTTATATAAAGCATTGTTTTAACATATAGGTATTCTGACACAAAATTGGGCGTTCTGTGAAATGACATATAATGTTTTTTCCATTTTTCAATTGTGTGTTCAAGTTATGCCAAAGAACCAAGTTCTGTAAAAATCACATGGGCTTTCGGAATAATATACTCTCAAAATTTTAGCCCCACACATTTAATTGAATTTGATATATATATTTATTAATATAGCTTTTTTTAGTTAAACTTACTTAATTCCTTCTTCCACAATTCAAAATTCAGGTTCAATCCAAATAAAATTTGCAGATATTTTCTGATTTATTTTTTAATCCGTATTTTTTAGTAATTTTTCGAAAAAACTGAATTAGAACCTACAAAATTTTTACTATTGCCAACAGGGTTCAACTGCATAAAGCAATTTCCCGTCTCCTGATTTCAGAAATGTTTTTTTTTTTTTTTTTTTTTCTACTTAAATTACTTTGCTTGGAATATATGTTAAGGGAAAACTGTTATGCAATGAAAATTTAGAAAATGTTCAGAATTTTGATTTAAGTTAAATTATTTAAATATTAATATGAGTGGAAAAATGTATTTATTATTTAGGTGCCAAGCGAATATAATAATAAATATGGCTTATTATTAATATTCTGTATTTTGAACTGAAATTTCATCGTTAAATCTGTGCAATATAGTGTAGTTCTGCATAGTTTTTTTTTCTCTCATTGTAAACCAATTCTGTAAATTGAACTGTTATTTAAAATTTTAAAAAAACAAAAGTAATTATTTTCCATGGTTGAGGTAATGCTCATTCTATCTTAATAAATACTGAATTAATACTGAATCTTAATAAATACTGAATTTTTAAATTACCAGTCTAATTTTTCTTTTAAGGTTATGCAGTTGTGTATAATGTTAATTAGACAGGTGCTTATTTTTTTTCTTAAAATGTGCTTATAGGTGCTTATTTTTTTAACTAAAATGTGGCTACGAACCCTGATAATGTAGGTGTATTTCTAAGCATACCTGCAAAAATTTAGAGTTCTTTATTCAAAATTTCTGGAGATCTATGTGAATTTATATATTGGTGCATTTTGAAACTTGGCATTCTTGTTATAAAGAGTAATAATTCTAAATTCAAAGTGTAATTTATGCACTTTGTTAAAATTATTTCAAAAATGATTGATGCATCTTTTTTTCTCCCCTGTCATCATGCACTGTGAAACAAAAAAGGAAGGGAAGTTATCATAAATTAAGGATTTCATCAAGTGAATTATTTTTGGCACAAAGTAAAAAAAGCGCGCCAAGATAAATTAAAAAAATTTTCACCAAATTTTACAAAATTTAATATTTAGACATAATTTGAGTCATAGCAAACGATCTATGGAAAAAAAAATCAATATGTCATTTCAGAAAAAGTTCCATTTTGTATAAAAATACCTATAATAGAACAATGCTATATATATATATAAGTCAGGCTTTCAGGACATGAAAAATGCAAGTTAAATTTCGTCAAACAGCCCAGTTGAATGAGAGATATAGAACTGTCCCATTTTTTTTTAGCAGTGTGTACCTAAATGCTATTTATTTAAAAGAAATGGCATACCTTATGAACTTAAAAATTTTCATTATTGGATAATATTAAAGTTCATCTTATTTGTCTTTCTTTATATCTTCAGTTACGTCATAGAATTCTGTTTTATCTTCGCTACCACTGTTACTCTGATCCATAAATAAATAATCATCATTTGTTCCATCTAGATTGTTAGGTATATTACATTTTTTAAATGACTTATGACAAGTTTCATTTCATTCCGAGCTTTTAATATCCACTCACCCATTATTTCTAGAGCCTCTAAATAGTGTGGTATGCAATAAAGTAAAATTTCAACCGTACTGTATTAATGAAAACATATTTATAGAATATTGAAAGAACAGAAGAAAAAAAATCACCAAGCCAACGTACACTCTTTTCTACTCTTGCCATATAACTCGAGCCAGCTAATTTGCAGCAGCCTTTGCCATTAAGTTTTGAAAATGTAGAACTAAACCTCCCACCCACCACTGAAGCAGTTTCAATTAATTACAATTTTAAAGACAAACTTTTTAAACATAATAGAATGCAAACATTTTTGAAGCTGCTAATCAAAATCATACTCAAGAGACTATATCAATTAATAGTTTGTAGCGTACTTAAGAGTTTGTTTCATGGTTCAATAAAGGACAAAGCTTAATGCTAGATCTCTTGAGTCCTCTGTTTGCAATTCGTACCATTACCACATGGATCTTACCGTCACTTCCAGAATGAAGTCTAATGACTCTTCCCAATGTCACAACAGTGGTGGAATGTTTTCTTCTTTGACTGAAACAAGATCGTCAACCTGAAAGTCTCTTTGTTACCTCTGAGAATGTTATTGAAGTTGGGAAAGGTATTCTCTTGACCACTTCTTCCAGAAATGTTGTAGAATCGTTTGACGTAATTGCCATCTTTGTCTGCAGGAAATAGGCTCTTGCGAAATTTCCTGCTTTGGTAAAGTAGAAACTGGAGCTCAAATCAGAAATTGCTTGTTTGGAGTGAGATCTTAAAAAGATATATTATCCTCAAACATTGCTGTCAATGGATGTGAGTTCAAGCAGGACTCAACCTGAGTTATGAGTGTAATGAACTCTGAATATGTT